TCTGAAGCACCCAGGAATGAATGCACGGTGCCATGTGAGTAATGCCCCATCATGGGGAACGATATGGTCCTCTGAATAGAAGTTCTAGGAGGGTCTCTTAAGAGCTTCATAGGTTGCGTTTCTCGACCAGCAAATGCTCTCATCAGAGTTGCCGCTTCCAGCGGAGGAGCAACCAGTAGCTGCCACATGTTCTTCCCAATGTCGCAAATCTGTTCCCAAGAGTCTGATGCGATATTGAGTCCTTGCGTACGACATAGCCAGGAAACGTTCCAGGCCAACAATGTAACACCTTCTAAGAAAAGGACGTACGACCCTGGGTCTTCCCTAGCGAGCTTTGGTAAACTTCTATCGATAGTGAGAGGTCGAGGTTGATGATGATTAGACTGAAAGCCTAATGAGTGTGTCGTAGATGAAGGGGGGTTATGCGGCTGCGTTGAGGCGGCTGTCAAGATCGAGTCCCGTGAAGTATACGACCCAATAGGTGCATGAATCGTGGGAACGGGATGGTCTCTATGAGGAAGGGTAATCTCCGCCGGAAGCCTCAAAGATAAGTAATGTGAAACGAGGACTAGAAGATGAGCAATATTAGAGAAGGATGTTGATATTTGGACTGAAGTGGCACCTATTTGGGCATTAATATTCCGCGTTCGCATATCCAGGAGGAGGGGCAGGTTTGCGACTTCCCGTTCAGGTCTCGGAGATCTATGATAGGAACACCGCCAATTACGTATGTTTCCTTCATTTCACTGCCATCCTGCTTTATCCACTGTCTTAGGCTGTATAGATTCGCAACCTCCCGGCAAAGAAAGATCCGAGCCTCAGCTGTCTTGCTGTGCAAGGAATGCCAGAGATGCTCCGTCCTTTTGATGGTATTCTGGACACCACATAGCATAGCTATCTCGCGACTTTCCAGCTGAAAGTTTGAAGACTCGGCATCAGAACGTCGTCGTGCTAATGTCAACCTCCGCTGAGAAATGCCAAGCTGCCTGTCTTTAATCTCAGATTTCAGTTGCTGGATCTGAAGGGCAAGCTCTTTCCTCCTGATGGAAGACTCGGCTTTTGCGTTTATAATTTGCAAGACCTTTTGAGGGTTGGGCACCTTATTCGGCAACTGCGTTGAGCATTCTTCAGAGCGACGATGGGAGAGAGTAGGAGATGTCTGATGCAGAAGTGCTTTCTCGAGCTGCCGTCCTAAGGTTTCCTTCTCCAGGAGAACCCTGGCATTATCGATACGTAATGTGTATAGTTCGTTACAGGCACATGTGGGACAGTAAAAGCGTAGGCGCGAGGTTGAGACTCGCGAGCAAATAGGACAATTCATCTCAAACGTACTGTTTATTGTGCTATCGTGCCGTCGGCAGATAGCTCACATTCTCGCGCCCTCCTGTTAGTCTATGAATCTCCAATCTGCCTGCTAGGTGACTCATAGGCGTCAGAAATGTGTATGGACTCAAAAAAATGATGCTTCACGACTCCCAGCAGTCAACGCTCTTGTAGCAGGCCAAGTTGGAGGTGCGGTATGTCCTCGAAGGTTACGTCACATGATAATACTGACATTTGATGCCTCAGGCAGCCACGCACTCTGCTTTGCTACCTGAACTGGTGATTCCCACGAACCATTCAATGCTGAAGCACATTATTATTGAGGCAGGAGTGACAGCATCGTAAAACGAGCTGTTTAAAATTTAGATCCTACGAGCAAATAATCGTCCATTCAACTTTTGACCTTCTATCTTTCGCTCTAGCTATACAACGTTCGGAAAGAATTGTCGTGATAAGGCACTGCATGTAAAGATGGATTCACTGGGTTCCACCCACGTCAAAGCATCTATTGACTACGGCGATCATGGATCCAGACCAGATCAACAGAAAAGTTTGGATGAGCATCATAGTGTTCCACAAGTCAGACGGCAGTTGGCAGAAGACTTGTCACAATGCCACTGGGCAAAACTTCAACAAGTATACTCAGATATTATGAAACATCATGGGGATGCCGAGGAAGAGTTGCGAGCTCGATCTTTGAGGCTTCTTGAGGTACCTTGTACCTTTCTAAGCCATGACCCATCTCTCTGACATTGCTGCTCTAGATTTTTACGGCCTGGTCACAGTCTGCTGTTCTTCGTGATGAAAGCAGAGCGCTGAAAAGGTCTCGGCCTGTACCCATACAGCCAGCCGACAGTTCAGCTGACCTATGTCTAGATTTAAAACCCAGTCGCAGCATGTGCAGACCTCCGAGGAGGATTTAGAAAATAGGAGAAAACATTGTGCGAGACTGCAACAACTGCCGCCAGCCAAGACGTGCTAACATAGCCATGCAGATGCCGACGTCGTGAAGGCTTTCGAAAGTGCTCTCGCTCTGCTGAACAATGCCCCAAAGTCTTAGGTATACCAAGTTGAAGGACACGCCCACACGCCCAGAGAGGCTCCCTTGAAGCTCAGACCTGCCCACTTGAAAGGTACCATACGAAGGCTCGACGACCGCATCTCGCAAACTCCGATAGTCACGAAGGGGAGCATAATGAGGGAACCCCAGTGGTAACACCATAAATCACGTAATACAAGACTATAATCCTTTGTCGAAAATCCGCTGTCTTTTCCTTGTCATCACCTCTTGAATCAAGGTAAATTTTTCAAAATAATCCTCCATTATTCGAAATAGCAGGTTCGGTTCTCTAGAAGCGTTGGGGCGCCCCCTCATGTAGGATTGCCACTTCTTCTGGTGCTTGCTAACAGACTTTCTTCCTCGGCCTCTTCGGCGTCCTCATCCAGCTGGCGTTCGTCGAGTCTCGGCGAGCGGACGACAGATGCCACGAGGATGACTAAGTAGATACCTATTTTTGCACAATTGTTAGCTTCCAAGTTTGCAGCATAAGAAACAACAGTGCCTTGTGTCAGGTCTGCCAAATACCAAGGAAAAGAAAGTGTGCCCAAAACAGCAAGGCACCAAAAAGTGGAAAATTCAGCGCCACCCGATTTAAAATGGTGCTTGCGACGCTGGGCGTGCAGCTCTTATCTGCAGCTGTGCTATCTCCCTTCTCCGAACATGGCTTGACCAAATGCCTGTGGTTTGAGCAATCCGGCTGCTCTTCTGAAGACCTCGGGGCTAAGTCGCAGAAAGTTTGCGGTCCGAATGTTGCGTACTGGGGTGCAAGCATCATGACAACCGAATAATTCAAGCCCAGGGTTATCAACGTCAGCATGGCTGTTGCCAGCAACATGGCCTGGGGCGACGTGCGACCTTTCCTAATTTGGAAAATTCGTATCCAAAGAAACCGAATGCCCACTGCGACGACGCCGACGACCGAGCCCCAAAAGAATAAGAAAATAAGAAGCGCAAAAATGATATAGTCAGTTGGAAAAACCCCGGAAGATTGAATAAGAAGCCAACTGATAGGGTTGAAGTTTGTACGTCTGAGTACATAACCACAGTGATGCTTGCAGGGCGAATTTGTCAATTTATCAATAACGGTCATGAGCAATGAAATCCAGGTCGAAAGCCCAACGAGGAATAGACAGAAGGCGCCCAGAAGCCTGAATGGACGGAGGATAGCCTTCAGTTTGGAGTAAACGGTGACTAGCCAGCTTTGGCCTTCTTCTTGGCGACCTTCGATCAAGCGCTGCCGGCGGATGAGAGTCCTCTCCTCCCGCACCAAAGTGTCCAATTCTCTTCGGTCTTTTGGAGATAGAAGCGCCGAATTACCCCCGCAGCGGCCTTCCAATTGGCGTTGCCGTTCACGGTTGAAATCCAGTTGCATGGCTGTAGAACCTACCAATGTTTGGTTTGCGAAAGAATGGGGTCTTCGGAGAAGGAGCGCCGGAAGCAATGCTAGCCCTGAAGGTGTATAGAAGACATATAAACAAGAGCCAATGGTTGTTACGAACCCGAGGAGAAAGGTAAAAGCATGTTCACCTCCTGTAGGACATCATGAGCGTTTTGAGGAGAAAAGTCGTCATCCGAAAAGACATCAAACTCACGGTTCTCGATCAAAAATCTTCGCCAATACCCCAGATCGTGGCCAGGTTGACTCTCCAAAATAGGAGCGAAGAAGCCGACCAGAACCAACGCAATGACTACTGCAATGAAAGCCAGCGTGTATTTGGTAGCAGTCCAAAACCGCTTGCAGGCTGTTTGATCGCCCGTCTCGACGGCTACTTCATCATATTCCTCGTGCCAGAAGTAGGCGAAAGGGATTCCAACAAGGCAGAGCAGAGCATCCAGGAAGTATAGCGAGTAATAGACAACTGTTAAGGAGTAGGTAATTTTATCGACCTCTTCTTGGGTGGCCCACTCTTTTCGCTGACCCAGAGCCGATGATGTTGTTGAGGAAACCAAAGCGACATCAACTGGTAGTAACATTACAGTCGCAAGAAGGGCGGCAATGGAAAAGACGCACATAAAGGTCACAAATGAGGATCGATCCCGAGGCGTCTGATATACATGTATAAAGATCGAGGCGACAGAAATCAAAACAATTATCACTATTAGATACGCAAACCAAATCAGGGAGATCCGTGGAAGAGGCATTATGGCATATTTGCAAAGCCTTCAAGAAACCCAACTAAGCAAAAGCTAAAGGGTGATGATGCTGCCATATAATGTTAGCGTTAGCAAAATAGACAGTCCAAAGGCTTTGCAGAGTAAGAACACACTATATTTCAGGGGTTCTTTGATCAGCGATTGTGATAAAGGTGGTAACAACGATGAGCCATCATGGTGTACTTACTGTATGCACAACTCTACAGGGGCATGGATTATCAATTACATCATCATAACAAGCCCAATAGGTCACGTGTCAGATCCGCAGGATTGGCAAAATACTCAAAAAACACAGCAGACTTAGTTGTATAGATTATCAGCCTATGGCCACCCTTCATTCACTCTCTAAATACCAATTCTTGCCTTTGACTTTGCAATGTATAGTCTTCTTGATTCGTCCTGGACTATTTTAGGTTGATAAAGGTCTCTAGCAGGGAAAGCCATAGCAATCAGCCACACAAATATGCAGTGCTATACAGAATTGTTACCCCCTTCCGGGGTAACTCATGCCCTGGCAGTTTCATTTACCTCAGCAACAGCGGATAATCTGGTCGTGGTGAAGACCTCTATCCTCCAGATCTTCTCTTTGCTCAAGGTTCAACATCACCCGAGAGGTGGAACTATTGAGGGTAAGTCAGCGCGGCCAGACCAGTTAGAGACAACGAAGCTCGTCCTGGAGCGAGAATATCCGCTTTCTGGAACAGTAGTCGACATCTGTCGCGTCAAATTTTTGAATCCTAAGAGCGGTGGTGAAGCTCTTTTACTTGCTTTTCGAAATGCCAAACTTAGCTTGGTGGAATGGGACCCAGAGCGTCATGGGATCTCAACAATTTCAATCCATTACTATGAGCGGGATGATCTAACCCGTAGTCCATGGGTACCCGATCTCAGCAGTTGTGGCAGTATCCTGAGTGTGGATCCGAGCAGTAGATGCGCAGTCTTCAACTTTGGGATTCGGAATCTTGCGATTTTACCCTTTCATCAACCAGGAGATGACCTAGCCATGGACGACTACGAATTCGATCTTCATCAAGACGGTCTCAATGAAGTATCGAATCACGTCGCCAATGATTTCAAGGACAAAGATCGCGCCGTGTATCAGACCCCGTATGCTTCGTCCTTTGTGCTTCCCTTAACTGCATTGGATCCCTCTATACTTCACCCTGTCAGTCTTGCGTTCTTATATGAGTATAGGGAGCCGACGTTCGGCATCCTGTACTCGCAGATTGCTACTTCGCATGCTTTGCTCTCTGAAAGAAAAGATTCTATCTTTTACACTGTGTTTACACTAGATTTGGAACAGCGAGCTTCCACGACTTTACTTTCGGTACCAAAATTGCCTAGCGACTTGTTCAAGGTGGTTGCCCTTCCACCTCCAGTTGGAGGCGCGTTACTTATCGGGTCCAATGAATTAGTGCACGTCGATCAGGCAGGCAAAACCAATGCGGTTGGAGTCAATGAGTTCGCCAGACAAGTCTCGGCATTCTCCATGGTTGATCAGTCAGACCTCGCACTTCGGCTAGAAGGGTGCGTTGTGGAGCATCTTTCTGACAGCACCGGGGATCTGCTTCTTGTTCTTTCGTCGGGGAATATGGTGGTCGTCCATTTCCAATTGGACGGAAGGTCAGTGTCAGGCATCTCAATTCGTCCCCTACCTGCACAGGCTGGGGGGACTATCATGAAAACTGCTGCATCTTCCTCAGCTTTTCTTGGAAGCGGCAGAGTTTTTTTTGGCAGCGAGGATGCAGATTCCGTCCTTCTCGGCTGGTCCTCCTTGTCCTCGAATTCAAAAAAACCTCGTCCAAGAATGAGCAATGTGGCAGAAGATCGTGAAGAAGCCTCAGACGATAGTCAAAGTGAAGAGGACGTTTATGAAGACGACCTCTATACTGCAGAGCCTGAAACGCCAGCTCTTGGTCGTCGTCCATCCGCTGAAAAGTCTGGAGTCGGACTATATAAATTTCAGGTACTCGACAGACTGTCTAATATCGGCCCACTGAGAGATATAACGCTAGGAGAGCCTGCTTCGACTGTTGAAAACACAGGTCGCCTCATTGAGAATGCTTCCTCCGAGCTTGAGTTAGTAGCTGCTCAAGGCTCGGGCAGAAATGGTGGGTTGGTATTGATGAAGCGCGAAATCGAACCGGACGTCGCAGCTTCTTTTGACGCTCAATCTGTCAAAGGGGTTTGGACAGCAGTTGTAGCTCTTGGAAGCGGTGCACCATTGGTCCCTGATGTGCAGCAAATTAATCAAGAGTACCGCCAATATGTTATACTGTCGAAACCTGAAGCTCCCGACAAGGAACAGTCAGAAGTTTTCATTGCGGAGACACAAGACTTGAAACCTTTCAAAGCTCCTGAGTTTAATCCGAACAACGATGTGACCATAGAGATTGGGACGCTGTCGTGCAAAAGGCGAGTTGTTCAGGTCCTGAGGAACGAGGTCCGAAGCTACGATATTGGTGAGCCTTTAGCCCTGAAGAGTAAGGAGCATCTAAGGAAACTAACAATGACAGACTTGGGCCTGGCGCAAATCTATCCGGTCTGGGACGAAGACACCAGCGATGAGCGCATGGCTGTTAGCGCCAGCCTGGCTGACCCATACATATCTATCCTCCGAGATGATTCAACGTTGATGCTTCTTCAAGCAGATGATAGTGGAGACCTTGATGAAGTGGAATTGAACGACTCTGCGAGGGCCGGCAAATGGCGCTCTTGTTGCTTATATTGGGACAAAGCTGAGATTTTCTCGTCTACGGGGCCTACTTCGAAGCAGAGGACTCACTGCGAATTGTTCCTCTTCCTACTTAGCATCGATTGCAGACTTTACGTAAGTCATTGTGACTCCAGTCACACCAGCATCTGCCTCAAGTTTGCCAATGCTGACAAACGTTAGATTTATCGACTGCCTGATCAGCAACTCATGTCAGTTATCGAGGGTATTGACTGCTTACCACCAATACTATCGACTGAGCTTCCCAAGCGCTCTACTACGCGGGAGGTCTTATCTGAAGCGGTTATTGCAGATCTCGGCGAATCCTGGAATCCTTCACCTCACCTAATTGTACGCCACCAGGTCCTTTCACTTCACCTTCCTTGGCCCCTGAGTTAGGACCACGTACTGATGTTCTAGGCAGTTACGCACTGAAAGTGACGACCTTGTGATATATAAGGCATTTACGTCCTCTATCAAGGGGGAAAGTCATACACGCCTGAGCTTCGTCAAAGAAGCTAATCATACCTTGCCAAGGGTTACTACTTCAGAGAAGGGTTTGCAGTCAAACGAGGAGCTATCAAGGTCCAGGTCACTGCGCATTTTGCCTAATATTTCAGATTTTAGTGCCGTTTTTATGCCTGGACCGTCTGCAAGCTTCGTTCTCAAAACGGCCAAAAGCTGTCCCCGCGTTTTTCGTTTGAGAGGAGAATTCGTGCGGAGCCTGAGCATTTTCAGCTTAGCCAGCCCTTCGCTTGACAAAGGCTTCATATATGTGGACTCAAAGGTTTTTGCCACTTCCCCACCTTCATGTTGCACATGCTGAATCAATTCCTAGGACGTGCTTCGCATCTGTCGGTTCCCATCAGAGACCCTATTCGATTATACATGGCCCTTGAGAAAAATCGATATCGGAGAGCAAGTAGATCATTTAGCCTATGCTACATCCTCCGAAACGTACGTATTGGGTACCAGTCATAGCGCAGATTTCAAGTTGCCTGAGGATGATGAATTACACCCGGACTGGCGAAACGAAGGTATGACTTTTGTCGTCACATATATGCGCATGTTGACAGGTCTAGTAATTTCATTCCTCCCTGAGCTTCGCCAATGCTCGCTCAAAGTCGTAAGTCCGAGAACATGGACGGTTATCGATAGGTGTGGACCCAAACCAACTTGCAAATCAGTTTTCCAGTACTTACACCTTTCTTCTTCGTGAAGCTACTCACTAGGTCCCGCTGAATATGTAATGGCGGTAAAGAATATGGACCTTGAAGTTTCCGAAAACACTCACGAGCGCAGGAATATGATTGTTGTCGGAACAGCATTTGCTCGGGGTGAAGACATCCCGTCTCGTGGCTGTATTTACGTCTTCGAAGTGATCAAAGTGGTTCCGGACCCGGAGAAACCAGAGACAGACCGCAAACTGAAACTTATAGGCAAGGAGTTGGTCAAAGGCGCCGTGACTGCGCTATCACAGATTGGCGGTCAAGGATTTCTAATTGCTGCGCAAGGGCAAAAGTGCATGGTTAGAGGGCTGAAGGAGGATGGCAGTCTGCTCCCTGTTGCTTTCATGGATATGCAGTGTTACGTCAACGTGGTGAAAGAGCTCAAAGGCACTGGAATGTGTGTAATGGGGGATGCTGTCAAAGGGCTTTGGTTCGCGGGCTACTCGGTATGATCCACTACATCCACACGTACAAGCGGGATCAGTCAAGCTAACGGGTGGTTTAGGAAGAACCATACAAGATGAGCCTCTTTGGCAAAGACCAAGGGTATCTTGAAGTCGTTGCTGCCGATTTTCTTCCTGATGGCGACAAGCTGTTTATTTTGGTTGCTGACAGTGATTGCAACCTTCATGTCTTGCAGTATGACCCGGAAGGTGAGATCTTGTGACATCGATAGAGCCTAGAGGGGGAAAGTAAACACTGATTTCGAATAGATCCGAAATCTTCTAACGGTGATCAATTGCTGGCCCGCAGCAAGTTTCACTTAGGTCACTTTGCCACAACAATGACTCTGATGCCCCGTACGATGGTCTCCTCAGAGAAAGCAATGGCCGGCCCAGATTCGATGGAAATAGATTCCCAAACCGTATCCCAGCAAGTACTCGTTACCTCTCAGAGTGGTTCGGTTGGCATCGTCACGTCTGTTTCCGAAGAGTCATATCGCCGGCTATCAGCCTTGCAATCCCAATTGACGAATTCCTTGGAGCACCCGTGCGGCCTGAATCCTCGAGCTTACCGAGCTGTTGAGAGTGACGGAACGGCAGGGAGAGGCATGCTTGATGGGAATCTGCTGTATCAATGGCTGGATATGGGACAACACCGCAAGATGGAAATTGCTGCCCGGGTTGGGGCACATGAGTGGGAGATCAGGGCTGATCTCGAGGCTATTGGTGGAGAGGGACTGGGATATCTATGATAATACCATCATCGAAAAAGCTCCGTTTTGCGTGAGTCAATTAGGGCTCGCTTGGTGATACCCATACAGCAAGGCATCTCTATTGTCCATCATGTCATAAAGAACCATGTCAGCCATATATACAGATATACATATGTGTGTAGAGGTGTGGGCATGAGTCTCCAGGTTTTGGAGGGCATTATACTTCGAAGAGCTAAGAGTTCATCTCACATATACTGTGAATGCTCTCTAGACAGTCATGCAAGGTCCATGACACTACCCAAGAACTAGAAGAGAAATTACAACCCCTGAAAGACAAAGCATTACCCATTTGCAGACCTGATATGCCACTAGAAGCTAAGGAACCGCTGGCAAGTAGGACGGCCATAAATTGAGTGCGAGGAAAACCAAAAGGAGAATTGCTTGGACGCGAGGTGAATGCTGTTTATTAGCTGCCATGAGCCATTACTTGCATTTCTTCTTCTTATTTCCAGGGCTAATTTTCAGGACCAGGCATCAGCTTCAGGTACTAACGCACATAAGACCGGGTCGAAGATGGATCTCAGAGTCTCCTTGGAGCATGTATATAATCCCAACAATTTTGCCGTATGCTGACAGGGTCGTAGCATGACATCATGACACTGTGAGATATGTGCATACCAAACCACATGAACTCTTAAGAGCATAAGTACCGAAATCAAAAAAGGGGGGGAAATGATCAAAGGAACAGCAGACAAAAACAAGAACACCGCCGTCATCGTAAACTCCTTCACGCCCGAACTGCCCCTTCAATTGCAGTGTAGCCCATACCCATACATAAGACTAGTCAATGCGCACTCTGTTAGTCGTGCGGATTCTGTCCGAAAGGAGATGTGCCAGTATAAATAACGCCAGAAAATGAGAGAAAACGATGGAGAGGGAGGAATGCGGATGAGGGATCCCGGGGTACGGGGAAAGGCGGGGTGTCGGATGCAGAGGCTTTGAAGGAGGTAGTGGATAGCAGATTGATCGAAATAGGACCCATAGCTGCAAATTTTTCAAAGAACCTCTGCGGAATAGTTAGAATGAGACCCTGCCGAATTCCCATACAAGGGGTTTCTTAAAAGACATCTTCCGAAGCAAAATACCGCTTGCTTCTCCCTCTTCCAGCGACAAATTTCATTTCTGGCATATTGGTGTGATGCACCACATGTGGACGGTAGACTGCATCCACAGGAGCTTGCCAATCGTCCAAGCCCAGAGGGAAATACTCATACAACAGATCAGCACTCTCATTCGGAAACGGAAGAGACGATGCGAAGGGTTGCTGCAGGCCCGCGGTGTTTAGCAGGGGTAGCGACGTTGCTGTGCTTCGTGACTGCGCCTGGGACACGCTGTGGGACAGCTTGCGCATTTTGGTGGGCGGGGCCGTGCTGCCCATATCGCGACTCTTGTGCGAAACGTCGTTGGTATATGAGGAGGCCGGCCTGGCTGAGTCGACCAAGTTGACACCATCGCCACTAGTATCGTCATCTAGTAGGGAAAGGTTGATGGGTGCTGCCATAGCACTCGACCGTCTTTGGCTGTCCGTCATGCGTGAAAATTCCGGACTGGACTGAGGATATATTGACGGTTGAGGCAGGGGTGTAGAAGAGAGCGCGCCACCCGACGAGTGAGGTATTTGAGTCCAGTCAGGGGACGACTGTCGCTGCGCTGCAATGGCAGATTGAGGAAGCGAAGTGTCCGGCGAGGTGCTTTTAGCTGCAGACTTCGCCTTGCCTGGGGTCAAACTGGGCCGGTGGTCGGTATCACTGGTAGGGGTGCGGTTGAGAGCAGCAGCCTGGGCGCTCTTTCTTGACGCCGCAGCGCTGCCGCTTAGAGGCAAGTCCTTACGCGATTGGAAATTGCGCGGACTACGACCTCGTACAATCACAGGTCCCGAATGTACCTCGCAGATCGGGATTTTGGCGCCAGTGGACAGAGTCGCAACAACCTTCAGTCGGACGACGAAATGCTGCTGCAGCTCTTTCCTCCGCCCGTTGTTGGCCGTCGCAACACGGAATTGTAGCCGTTTCCAAGCAATTGGGAAGGTTGCGTAGTCGGTGTCCAGGTCTTGGCCCGCCATGATGTCCAATGGAATTGGTGGTGGTTCTTTTTCAACCTTCGCATTGCTGTTACTGGCACCATTGTCATCAGTCGGTTGGTTGCCATTCGCAGCGGGCGTTTTCCAGGGCACCGAAATGATTTTGACCGAATTACCCTCCACAGACTCAGTGGCGGAAACGCAGAGTTCTTGCGCGAGAATAGGTATACGGTCGCCCTGCTCGGTCATGATGTACCGTAGACTACGTGGCAGGGTCACGGAGCCTGTGATCTGGAACAGGTTGCGCCGGTAGCACGTCAACTCCGCCCCTTGTTGAGGCGGTACGTTTTCCGTCGGGGATGTGGTCCAAGGCGATTCTGCGAGGAAGAACATGCCATGTAACTGAGCCGACAGGGATAAAGATGTCCTCCGCAACGAATAATCAAGTAGAGTGAAATTATAGGCGGGCATTGAAAAACTCAGCAACTTGTTATTGTGTTCAATAGACGAGTCTGGGGGTTGTTCGGAGGGTGCGGGGTCGAATGGGGTCACCATCTCCGTGAAGGGATCGTCGTACCCCGAAGAGAAACGTTTCAACGTGTTCGGCAAACTGTGCTGAGTGAAGGGAATATCCTCGCCGCTGTTCCATTGCGCTTGGTCAGAAGGATCAATTGAGAGATAAGCCTCAGGAAAGCGCAAGGCGACGATGGACTTACCTAACGAACGTGTCGGAGTCGAAATTTGAGCGCTGCTCGGGTATGTCAATACCAGGCATGGCATTAAGGTAGTCGGCGCCCTGCATATTGCCCAGTGACAACGGACTGGCCAGATACGGCATTGCCATAGTATCGAAACCCTCCATGGTGACGGCAATGTATGAGTGGATAGAACAGCGCCGACGAAAGAGACAATGGATTCGAGGACGCAAGGCAAAGAGAGAAAAGTCAAGGTAGTTGCGTGAAGAGGAAAGAAGCAGAAATGGGAGAGGATGGAGGAAGAAGGAGGAAAGGCGATCGTGACCAGCCCGGAGGACGCAAGAAAGACCTAAGGCGAAACGAACATGGAGAGGACGAAGATGATGGAAGGGGAATAGTGTAGTGGATCGAGCAGTCCGTAAGAATAGAAGTAGACGCCTGGAGGGGTAGGAAAGAGAGTAGGAGACAAGTATGAGGTGAACGATGAGAGCGGAAAGCAGGAGTAAGAAGATGGGAGAGGTCCGGACTAAGGTAGGTGAGGTATTTTGGCTTCCAACTCCAAGGCGATTTTTGGTATAGTTAGAATAGAACAGTAGGAATAATGATACGAATAATGAGTAATAATAATAATAATAAAAATGATGATGATGATGATGATGTTAATAGCAATGTAAAGTATGCAAGATTACTGCAAATAGTTGTAGATATGTAGTAAATGCAGTAGTAATGGTAGTGGTGGTGTAGTTAGTTTAGTGCCTTGGTTGGTGGAGGCGATCGAAGACTTAAAACGGCAAGTCCACAAAAGACAACGAGAAGAGCGATCCGGAAGCGCAAGAGAGCAAGCGGAGAGTAGGTCGAAAAAGACGTTAAGAGATCTGGATTGAATGGGATTTGTTGAAAGCAGCCCGAACAAGAAATGGACCAAGAAGAGCAGTGGGATGATGTGCAGTAGGCAAGAAAAACGAACCGAACTGGCGTGGGGAACGAGGAGCGGAAACCCAATCCTTCTCCCGAACCAGTAGATAGTATGGAGTAGTTCTGATACAATTCCCTCTTCCGATTCACCTAGGTCGAGGTACACTACCTAAACTAGTACTTAGTTAGTATTCTACGGAGCAGCAGAGATTACTGCAGTTTGTACGCAGTAAGATAGTCTGTAAGCTGTACCACAACTCGGTAAGTTGACAAATGTTTATTTCATCTCTGAGAAACAAAGCATTGCTGAAGTTGCCGAATTCAGCGCGAGTGGATCAGACCCAGATACCTTACCTACCTAGTACAGCTGTACTCGGCTCGTACTTACCGTAATAAAAGTTACTGAGCTACCTAGCTGCCTAGGTAAGGTACTGCGTACCTAGTTCGTATAAGATAAGTAATGTAGTAATAGACAAGTGCTCATGTACTTAAATAGCCCCGAATTTCTACAGTGAATAAGAATGCTCCCAGGACGGGCATGGTTATAATGATTTTTCTGGTGTACAAGTTGATATGATGGAGACTGGATCTCTTGCAGAGGTAGCCAGAAGAGTAATCAATACTACTACCTACCTTAGGTACATGCGAGAGTACCTACTTGTACGGAGTATACAGGGTACTAAGTACTAACGCATCTAGCCAGTAGTCACCTAGTCTAGTACCTACCTTAGTCGATACGCAAAGAGCAAGACCCCAACCGGAGACGGCCTGTTGACTTGACTGAATTCGGATTTAACTGTGGAGACTCGAAGAAGAGTATTATTTGCGAAGGGCAGACTTCTGCACTTGTGATTCGATTATTGACTGTATGATTGCGGATTTGCGGGTATTAATTAAGGATTTTATCTAGGTCATCTGGTTGACTGTGCTCTTGTGGACGAAGTAGGTACAGAGGACCTCTCTTTCTTTCGCTATCTGAAATTATTAGAAAAATAGAGGTATTCTTATTGTAAATCATTTTCCTGGGTTCTCTCTCTCGCCTCCATTTCTCATTACCTTCCTTTCTGCTTCAGACTGCCGATGCCTACATATCAAGGATATCTTATCTGCGCCGTAGACTTCGAGCGAGTAGATACCTTACTCTTAGCATTTTCTTCTAGAACAGGGGGCGCTACAGGGAGGAAATTTAGATACCAGATCATGAGGCAAGATGCGTCTTTAGCACCTACCAGGCTTCCTTAGCGTCCGCAACCGATCCGTTCCAACCTTCTGCCTGCTGTGCCCCCAAACCCCACCCTCCCAAAATGGGCCCCAGCCCCCAAGTCATCAAACATTGGTGAGGTAGTTCC